TTCTCCCAAATAGATTCTTCTTATTGTTTGGCGCTGCCAGCATCTAAGCGAATTTAGGTGAGTTCAATAAAGCACGCCAGTTATTCCGTTTCTGTAGCAAAAGACGCCAACTGGAAATGCCAGGCAAATCGCAACTGCAGCCAGCAACGGGATCCGCGTCGAACGCTTGCAGGCCTGGAGAATTTGTGTCCATTCATAGATATATTTTAATTCGCTGCACTACGTCTATGTACTTATAAAGCTCATACGTTCCTTTGTCTGCTGTATTCGCCGTCACCAACGTGCAAACCTTTTCCTGGAACACTCGAAAGGCTACTACATGCTATGTGATCTATACTTCTGCAGAGCACATCGAGTAACTTATACAGTGTGGTTTTCATGTGACCAGATAGGCCTTCACTTCTCAGTTGCCTACTCAATCTACAGTAGCACTTGTTTCAAAGTCGATGCTTAGTAGTCTTCGGATCAGGAAATGTCCTCAGTATTAATGCTGGTACTCAAATAAACGAAGTATGTTGACTCCTTGCGCTAAGGCAATAAGTATTTCGTTTTTTCTCTTTCTTCTCCACACCTACTCGCTTGGCTCTCATACCAATGTGTGAAAAGGCAGAACAGACTCAGCCAGCCAAGCAGCCAGCCAAGCAGAGGGTCATTCCAAATTAGAGATCTGAACACTTCAGGTGCTAACCCCCAAATCGCAGTCCCTTAAACGTGTGCTGTTGACTTATTAGGAAATAACTTTCTGTAACATTCGATAGTTCTTGCCCCCTCCCCTTACTTTAGCCGCAGAATCGAGTTGATGCATCTAGCATTCTGCCGTTATGCACAGACCACTTTAAAATCATAGAAGTCATTGGTACAGCCAGCGGTGGCCTCATAACAAAACCATGTTTTCCTATGAGAAATTTTTCAAGCGAAGGTCTACGCTTTTAGTCGATCTTTATCCTTAGTGACAGTTAGGCAGCACTAATGGCTCTATTGTCCTTTGATGTTAAATCAGGTATAATCCCTGATTTCATTGAGATGCTTAACGCCCTTGAATACAGTGATATTCAGCCACGTTGAGCACCAGATCATAGACGAAAGCTTAACCCGGAAGGCTGCGGCCTCCACTCCCACAAAGCTAAGCCATTTCTTGCAGCAGGTCCAAAAACGATGAGGAAAGAGGTTAGCGTATTCAAATGAGAGAAAAGCACTAAAAGACGTTGTGAAACGAAACGCATACTAGGTTGGTACAATCTAAAAATATACGGGCTTCAAATTAGATAGTCTCTCTAAAGATATATTAAGGATTATCGGAGCCTTTTTATAAGGGTTCTGCAGACTTAGAGGCCATCTGCTTAAGTGGTTTGGTCAAATTGTATCAGCCAAAGAGACCATACACTGACTCCTTCAGTATTAGGCACCCAGTTTTTCACACAAGTTTCTTACACTACTTGCGTTGGAGTATAACTAAACTCATTAACTAAATTTCACAGCTAATTAAAATACAATTTTATAGTTGTAGATCAGCAGTGTGCCGTTAAATATGTAGTTGCATATCAAGTAGCAACTAAAACTCGTAATTGAAAATAGTTTCGAACAAAAGCTCAATAAATCCTTGCACACGTTCTAGCAATAAACAGAACTTTCGACAATCTTCTCTATTTGTACAAAATATTCCATACTCAATTTGAGCTACGGGTACTTCCTTCGAGCACCTTTTGTTATAGCGAACTATTCGTAAGCATCTCGCATATTTCATCATGCAGGAAAATTTATTAATTTAATTGAATTTTCGACGCCATCCACACATGGACTGCACACGCACAAAGGTATCAGCAAAAAAATAAGAAGAAAATTATCAGCATCCGCATACAATAATTGCGCAATTTATTAAAATTCTACGAATTTTTCCAAATATTTCCGTTCTGCCACACAAGACACCACCGCTTTGGCCAACCGAACACTTTTGAGATCCTTTTACAAATTCTTCGCCCCAACAGCTCTTTTTGGCAAAAGCTACGGCATCACAAAAGCAATTTTCAGCAGCCATTCTTTCCGACTTCCGTATGTTAAAGTAGGCATATGCCGTACTATGTAGGCCTACACACATGCATATGTACATACATAAATATGTTTTTGAGTTAATGCGCACATCCATGGTAAAGTACCATTTCATGGTGCTTGGATACGGCCGTAATGGCGTTTTATGCATGCCTATTTTTTTTTTTTATGTATGTGTACATTTATAGGTTCATTTCGGTAGATGTACTTTAGGGTACATCACTCTCCATACAAAAAAAAAACTGAAATTTTAGGGAAATATTGCTGGACCGATTTGAATATGTCTCCAAATATCGAGTGTTTTAAAAATAAAATTAATTTTAAGCATTTTTTCCAGAAAATCACCTCAGATGAACAGTTTAGGCTACATACGAATATTTAAAAAATTTTGACAACGGTATCAAAATAAACAGATTTCTTGAGGTATTTTTTAATCGGCCTAGATGCGAATCTTAATATTTTTCCGAGATATTTTAGCGGAAGTCCTAAAATATAATAGGTTTTATAATTCCAGTTTAAAAACCGCAATTTTTTTTTTTTTGGTGTGTCACCCTAATGTACATAAATGTTTAAAAGGATCTACATATTTGCAACGAGTATTACATATGAATTTTTGTACACATAATGTATTTATAATGAATCAACACGTGTGTATGTACATATGTATGTATGTATATAAATTTGTTATGCATGTTAATCTATTTCAATTTTATTTTATTTTATTTTTTCTTTTTCACTTTCATTTTTTCCGCAGAGATCCCAAATCGGCTTACATAATAAAATGTGGGAGTACATGAATTCGCGCAAGCTTGTCTTTGTGAGCACTTACGATGAAGGCATACGTCGGGTGCGTACGTCAAAAGGCAAGTATGCCCTATTGATGGAATCACCAAAGAATGAATACGTAAATGCCAGGGAACCATGCGATACGATGAAAGTCGGCCGTAATCTGGATACGAAAGGGTTTGGCATCGCAACGCCAATCGGATCACCGCTGAGGTGAGTGTATAGGCGCGCATAGTTGTATTGAATACTGTCAAATTATGTGGTAAAAAGGGTGAAGTGGTGTCGGTGAAAATAAGCAAAGAGCAGCAAGTAATCCTAACAAGAGGTACATATTTATTGTTGGTTGAAAGAAAAAAGGCTGCGCATGTGTGTGTGTATGAAGTATAGAGGTATTCATAGGGTAAGGAAAATGTTTGCCTTATGTCTACTTATTTATTTTTGAGGTAAATTATATTGAGATACTTTTCTCTAGGGAAATCTGGAGATACTCCTATAAATTTTGCAAGATGAAATTAAAATTTTTTAATACTCACTTACCGACAGAAATGTAAAAATTCCAATAAAATGCTCTACATGTTTGTACATCTGTGCCCAAAAGAACGGCTCGGCAAGTCCTCCCCTTTCCCTACGTAAAAGTAAATTAATAAACAGAAAAATTGGACTTGATTTTTTTTTTCGACCGGACTAAATTTCGTTGTTCATAGGTAACTCATACGCCATGACATACGGCTAATCGTACTTTAGGCAGGCAGTAGACAAGTGCACGCCTTTTGGGGTTGAGCTTTGAAAAAAGGTTATTCTAATAATGCACTCAAATAAAATAACAACAGCCCGCACCGATCTCATGTCAGCTTGACGACTTGATGTCTGCCTAAAGTACAAGTACTAGTTAGTATGTCATGGCGCATGAGTTATCTATAAACATCAACATTTCCATGGTCCGGTCAAAATTTCTAGTCACTATAACTTTTCGTTGTACAGGGCAATTCAGGCAGCTGTCTTTCATTTCATCACAGTCTTTCGAAAGACAACAAAAAAATATTTTCTTTTTAAAACAGTAAAATCTAAAAATTTAAAGAAAATGTAACTAAAAAATAAAAAAAAAAATATTTAAAAAAGAAAAAAGTAAATAAAATAAGTTTCTTAAAGTTAAATGCAATTTAAAAAATATTATTTTTGAAACCACTGCAGAAAATTTAATTTAAAGAAAACTTAAAAAGAGTAAAAGAATCATAAAATAAGTTTCTGAAAATTTATTTAAATTAAAAAGAATATACATATGTATATCCTTTATAAAACTAAAAAGTCGGAAAAGCTAAATAAGTAAAAATATAGTTTAAAAAATTAAAAAAAGTACGCTGCAACAGGACTCGAACTAGGGTCTCTCGATTGGCATGCCTGTGCTGGGCCCACTCGGCTATTGCAATTATTGGAGTGACTTCAGCTAAATTATATACAAGTGCTCACAATAGCTTTTCACCACTAGTGGTGAATGAGAGAGCTTGTTTTCTAAGACTTTTGTACTAGAATAACAAAAGGCTTTCGAACTATCTTGCCACCTGTCGGTCATTTTTTTTTTATCTTACGAAAGACTTTTTACTAGCCAGAATTGCACTGTTAATTTGATTTTTTAATAGTTTTGAATTTTTGTGTAATTTTGACGGAAATCGTCCTTTGTAAAGTTTAATTTGAAGGCCATTTTCTTGTATTTTGCACTTTCACATAAATGACTTAACATGGCTGCAAACCTGGAAAACACGAATCCAATACGCATTATCCCTTAAGCATCGACACTCTGCTTTAATCGACCTGCTATTACTAGCCGCTATGGCCTTTTCCTTGACCTTTGCAACCGGGAACATCTGAAGGGGTTGAATGATTGAAATCTCTGCGCATAGTATTGCAGCATACCCTTTTCTCACGCACTCGCCCATTTCTTCGTTCCTCAAGACACCATCTTGTTTGGAGATCCAGTATAGATTCTCTAGAGAATTCTAGTACTTCTCACCGTTAACCACAGCATATAAAGTTAGTCATTAATAACCTCAGGGCATTGAACGCAGCAGAGCTGTAAAAATTGAAATTATTTTGTTTAGCAATCAGTAAAATTTTTGGATTTCAATTAACAATCATTTACACGCAATTTATTTCCAAACATGATTGTAAGCACTGATTCAATGAAAATTTTTAATTCATATTATGCTCCATTTTTGGTAAGTGAAGCACTTAATTCACAACAAACAACAAGTATTTGTCGCAAAATAATAAAAATCCAAATAGCTTAAAATCAAATTGATTGCAATCAAAATCTTCTAAATATAAGATTGTAGTTTGTAATTTTTACAATCAGGATAAGAGCAATCATTTTCGAATGCAGTCAAATTGTTTTGCAATTTTTGTAGCTCTGGAGCGCAGCGTGATTATCTGTGGAAAAGGCGAAGTAGCAAGTCTAATCATGCATAACTGAATCGGGTAATTTTGAGTCTGAAAATCACTGCAGCAATATGGAGATTTTTAAGCTTCCCTCAGTGATATACCGTTGAAAATGCATTTCACAACTGTTGTATACATCGAAAGTATAATCTATAGTTGCTGATGCCAATCTTTACCAATCATCGTATCACAGTAGTAAGACGATTTGGGATGTTTTCTTCTTTGTTCTTTGAGATACCTTTTCCAGATTCACACGAGCATAAGGGTATTTCTTTAACTTTAAATTTTTCTGAGCTATCGCTACACACCTGAAAATTACAAAAATGTTGGCTTTTAAATTTAATTTTTTCCGCTGTTCTGCACCTTTTAGTTAAATCGCTTACAATCAGGCATATTTCTGCATTTATCAGAGTGCGTAATACTTGCATTCAAACACATATTTATATAGTAAATGTTCGCTCGTACATTTATATAAACAGCGAAAGCGTNGAGTGCGTAATACTTGCATTCAAACACATATTTATATAGTAAATGTTCGCTCGTACATTTATATAAACAGCGAAAGCGTCTTTTGCCGCAACCGCACGCATGGCTACCAACAAACATCAAAGCC